TTTAAAAATTTAATTGAGATGTAACTGACATAGAACTTATTAGTTTCAAACATAAAACGTGATGATTCGATATATGTATATGTTACAAAATGATCACCACAATAAGGAGTTAACATTTATCACCTCACATAGTAACATTTTTTTTTCAGTGATGAAGACTTTTAAGATCTATTCTTTTAGTAACTTTCAAATATACAACACAGCATTATTAACTATAGTAACCATGTTGTACATTGCATCCCTAGGACTTATTTTATAATTGGAAGTTTGTACCTTTTGATCACCTTCCCCCATTTTGCTCACCTTCCATCTCCATCTCTGGTAACCCCCGACCTGTTCTTTGTAGCTATGAGTTCAGGGTTTTTTGGGGGAGGGCAGGGGTTAGATTCTCCATGTAAATGATATATAGTATTTGTCTTTCTCTGACTTAGTTCACCTAGCATAATTCACTCAAGTTTCATCCATGTTGTTGCAAATGGCAGGATTTCCTTTTTTTTTTTTTAATAGCTGAATAATGTTCCATTGTATAATATAGACACCACATTTTCTTTATCCATTCATCCATCAGTGGACACTTAGTTTCATTCCATGTCTTGGCGATTATAAAATGCTACAGTGAACATGGGGGTACAGATAACTTTTCAAGTTAGTATTTTTGCTTCCCTCAGATAAATACCCAGAAGTGGAATGACTGGATCGTAGGGTAGTTCTATTTTTAATTTTTTGAGGAACCTCCATACTATTTTCCATACTGGTTGTACCAATTTACATTCCCACCAACAGTGCATGAGGGTTCCCTTTTCTCCACATCCTCATCAACACTTATTATTTCTCGTCTCATAATAATATCCATTCTAACGTGTATGGGATGATATCTCACTGTGGTTTTGATTTGCATTGCCCTGATGATTAGTGATGTTGAGTACAATCGTGTACCTATTGGCCACCAGTATGTCTTCCATGCAAAAGTGTCTCTTCAGATTCTCTGCCCATTTTTTAATCAGATTTTTTTGCTATTGTATTGTATGAGTTCTTTATATATTTTGAAAATTAACCCCTTATTATATATATGATTTGCAAATATTTTCTCCTGTTCAGTAGGTTGCTTTTTCATTTTGTTGATGGTTTTCTTTGCTGTGCGGAAGCGTTTTAGTTTCACGTAGTCCCACTGGTTTATTTTTTGCTTTTGTTGCCTGTGCTTTTGGTGTCCCATCCAAAAAATGGCCAAAACCAATGTCAAGTTGCCTACCGCCTCTGTTTTTCTTCTAGAAGTTTTATGGTTTCAGGTATTGTAGTCAAGTATTCTGTTTTGACTTGATTTTTGTGCATGGGGTATGAAAGTGTTCCAATTCCATTCACGCACGCGGCTGTCTAGTTTTCCCAGCACCATTTGTTAAAGACACTGTCCTTTTCTCATCACATATTGTTGACTGCTTCGTCCTAAATTGATCATATATGTGTGGGTTATTTCTGGGCTCCTTATTCCTTTCCATTCATCTGTGTACCAGTTTTTATGCCAAAACATATTGTTTTCATTACAGTTTTGTGATATAGTTTGAAGTCAAGGATGCATTATACCTACAGTTTTGTTGTTCTTTCTCAAGATTGATTTAACTTTTTGGGCTCTTTTTGGTTCCAAATATTAGGATTGTTTTTTCTATTTCTGTGAAAAAAAAAATGTTATTGGAAATTTGATAGGGATTGCATTGAATTTGTAGATTGCTTTGGATAGTCTGGGTATTTTAACAGTATTCCAATTCATGAGCACACAATATCTTTCCACTTATTTACATCTTCGATGTCTTTCATGAATGTCTTGTAGTTTTCTTTTTTTTTTTTTAAAGATTTTATTTATTTATTTGAGAGAGAGAGAATGAGAGATAGAAAGCACGAGAGGGAAGAGGGTCAGAGGGAGAAGCAGACTCCCTGCTGAGCAGGAAGCCCGATGCGGGACTCGATCCCGGGACTCCAGGATCATGACCCGAGCCGAAGGCAGTCGCTTAACCAACTGAGCCACCCAGGCGCCCTGTCTTGTAGTTTTCTTATAGTTTCAGCATACCGGTCTTTTAAAATTGATTATGATGATGGTTGCCCAACTGTAAGTATATTAAAAACCATCAAATGGTACTTTAAAAGAGAATTGTATGGTATATAAATAATATCAAAAAAAGCTGTTTTGTCAAAACAAAACAAAAAATCCTCTGGATTTGCTAATTGGGAGTTATTAATGACCTCAGTGGGAGGAATTCCAGTAGTGACTGGAGTTGAAGCCAGACTGAAGAGGGTCAAGGAATAAATGAAGTAAGCAACAAACATTACCTGCCTTTTCAAAATGTTGTGACAAAGGAGATAGGGTAGTGCTTGAAAGGGAGAAGGTTTAAAGGGACTGATTTAAAAAAAAGAGAGAGAATCCCGTAAAGAAAGAGATTGAAGCTATTAGATCAGAGCAGCATGTGAGGTGTGAGGCAGGGGCAGTTGTAAAGTGTTGGAGCCCACAGAAACTTGAGTTTCAAACACCAGAAAAGGGTCCACTCTATTTAAATATGAAAAAAATCTTTCTTCCTCAAATCTATCTAGGCTTGACCCTTTCTTCCCTAAGATAACGTGGTTGCTTTCTCCAAGACTTTCCGTCCTTTACACTTCACTAACAAATTACTCCTTATAGGTCAGGATTCAGGGAAGGAGAAGAATCACAGTGCAGGAAATAGTATAGTCCCCAAGGATTATAACCTTTATTAATCCTTATTCTTTCATCTCAAGAATTTGGCTTTAATATCAAGGACATAAAATCACAGCATCTCTCAAAAATGTTAAGTGTTTAGTCAGCCAAAAATAGGACTAATGCCATCTATGTGGAAGGATGTAAAACTGCAGTTGTTTTCAAATTGCTAAATCAAGTTTATTCCCCCAATATCTGAGCCTAGATAACCATTTTGGGAGTCTGGAGCATATCCGCGGACCATTCCCATTTATTCCCTAGAACTTAAAGCTGTCTAGGAACGGCTTTTTAACTAAACTCCATTTCTGGGTTCATTATCTTCCAGTGTTGGGTCCTACCACCATATTTCGAAAATCTTTGTGGTTTTCGGAATGCTTAAACTCAGCCCCAGTTGTTGAAAGCTCTTGATAGAAATCCCTCATGTTAAGAGTTAGTGGTGGAAACCACATTAAAAGTGTAGGGGTGTGCTATCTTTATGAATTTTCTTGTCTCTAGGCCATAAATTATGTTGGGTGCTCTGATGCTGGGACATGCCATTCAGAAATGTAACAGAGCAATGAGTACCACTCGGGACTGGTTCAGATGTGACCTATTGGGAAGGAAGAACTTCCAGCCCCAACAATTACTGTGCTGGCAGTGGTCTTGCCAGATCTTATTTTCATCAGTGGGAAGCTCAATGATGTTAATTTTGGTCGAACAATTTGTATATGGATTGAACACCTTTTTAGCCAGGGTAGCAGACCATCGTTAACCTTCCTTCTGTGGAAGTGTTGGCACTAAAGCCAGCGACGCAGTCCAGACATAATTTTGTTACAAAGATGTATGTAGCTTCGGCTGCACAGTGTTCTTTTCTGCCATCTTTCCGCCTGGAGCCATCTGACTCATTCTTTGTATTGGTGTTCATATCGAATTAACATAAACTCAAGACAAAAATATCTCCAGATTACTTTAGGAATACTGACTCATTTATTTTTGGCTGTGTTAATATTCCCTTATTATCCAATTTTACTAATGCGTAGAACATTCATTTTAAATGCGAGTAGCTTTACTGACAGGAGAAACCCTGAGGTGATTTCCCTTGAGGGGTAAGCACATCCTCGGGGGCCCACACTGCCTGCATTTGAATCCCAGCTCTGCCACTTACTCGCTTTATAACCCTGAGCAAGTTACTTGACTTCTCTGTGCCTCATTTTTCTCCTAAGTAAAATGGGAATAACAGCACCTTATAGGACTGGAACAGGAATCAAAGGATTAATCCCCATCAAGCGCTTAGAACAGTGCTGGACACATACAACACCCTCCAGAGATGCAAGCTGTTGGCTCTTATTTTAGATTAACTAAGAAAATGATTCACATTACAAAATTTCAACCTAAATATTGAATACAGTATTAGGACATTGGATCGCGCTTGAGGAAATTCTCATGAGCTCTAAAGTTAGCACTCTCATATGCTAGAGAAGCAGAAAAAGGTAAAGCACAAGAACAAGGTCTTGGGTTCTAGTTGCCACTGTACCACCACCCAGCAGTGGGACCCCAGGCCTTGCTTTGGTCATCTGTGCCACAAAGACCTTCATCTACACATCCTCTGAAGTCCCTGCCAGCCTCTAATGTGCTCTAATTCGTCAAATTCCCATCTTTTTGTTCTGTCAGCTAAGTAGTACTACTTACATAAATCTAAACAGAAACAAGTATCTGTAAAATAGTTTTCACGACATTAAAAACTGGAAAAAATAACCTGGAGGGGTCCCAAAGTCCAAACTCCGATTTTGAGTGGCTTTGTCCCTTGGACACATTTCCTAGTGTGAACACATTGATGAGAATTCCACTAACTATGGGAGAGACGAGTTCAAGAGCCTTTCCAGGATTTTGCAATGCACAGTCCTGGGATCTGGCCTAACCTCAGGGCTGACCGCAGGTGAGTCTCTGGGCCTGTGACTCCATTTCTAATCCTGATATTCTCCCACTGACAATGTGATATTCCATAAATAGCTTCTCAAGAAAATACAAAATTGGTGCTACATCAAGTAAAATTATGATTTGATTTCTAAGGTCACGGGACTTCTGAAAAACTTGTTTTATCTGAGATGCCTAAAATTAAAAGTCATGAAAAAATGACAGAATGATGGTGTATTATACACTGATTTATTTAATAGTCTATATTAATAGACATATATATATATGCGTAATATATAAGAAAATGTACAGTGTCTTAAAAAGCATTTGATAGTTTTAAATACAATTTTTAAGCTCTAATTGGGATGAATACACACACTTCTAGCCATAAAAGTACAATTTTAATGGCAGATTTCAGACCTCTGAAGCTACATGTTAGTTAATGGCCAAATTAACGACATTAAAAATATGCATTTATAAACATTTGAGGAAATTCATGAAAATGTTTTGTAAACATTTTTATAAACATCTACCATAAAATATGGGAGAAGTTTTCACGATCTACTTAAAAATATTAAATCCTATCTTTTATAATATTATACAAGTTATTATCAAGTATGCATTACAAATTCTTGTGTAAACTCCCTTAAGTCCTCTTCACTAATATCAAGCACAGGTTTGTATATCCTACATATATATAAACACACTACTTTTTCCCTTGTGTAATGCGCCCTCATAAGGATATACTTGGTCTGTGGGACAATCAGAGCATAGCAAAATGCTGCTTTAGCTGTTTAATTAAATGTTGGGTATCCACATGATCTGGAAATGCTGCTTCCGACTTCTGAGCAGCAACATAGCTTCTCTGTAGATCTCCAATCTGTAAGAAATACCAGAATAAGACCACAGAGTGAGACCAGGAAAAAAAGAGTCAGAATGTAATCTCTGTACACTGTAGAAAATCAAAGGTTTTTAAGGGTAAAACGTTTGATTATGCCACTTTGATTTTAGAATTCTTTCACCTAGGTTACAATTCAATCTTGAAAAATAGGAGAAAAATAAAATAACCAATTATACAAATAATTTCTGCTCCATTACAGCTGTCTAGTTATGAATTCATAAACCTTGTTTTCTTTTCCTGTCACAGGTAGTATTATAAAAATAACATTTGCAAACTATAACAGCCAGCTCTGTATAGTTTCCAAAAGCCTTAGGACAATTATTTGTAATGTACCATAAAGATTTTTTGGTTAGGGCATTATCTTTTAGACAGAAAATTCAACCAAAAATGATTGTATATAAGATACAATAACATGCGGGGCACCTGGGTGGCTCAGTTGGTTAAGCGTCTGCTTTCAGCTCGGGTCATGATCCCAGGGTCCTGGGATCGAGTCCCGTATCGGGCTCCCTGCTCAGCAGGGGGTCTGCTTCTCCTTCTCCCTCTGCTGCTCCCCCCTCCCACTCGTGCTCTCTCTCACTCTCTCTCTCTCTCTAATAAATAAAATCTTTAAAGAAAAAAAGATACAATAATATGCTTAGGGAGGTTTTAAATGCAGCTAGCAGAGTAATGTGGGGGAAGATCTCTGGCTTTAGAAGTTTATTAAGAGTATCTCTGATTTTCAATAAAGCTGGTATTAAAGTCCAGTCCCAAAGAAAAGCACACAGTATCTGGATCCATCTGAATAGATCTGGATTCATGCATACATTTATAAAAACCAAGAGCTTTTTAGTGTGTGCACGGACACAAAAAACCTAGATAATTCAATTCTGGCAGGTTTTTTTTTGAAACATGTAATACATATTAAAAACGTAAGTTTCCTTTTTTAAAACTCACAGCATTTCTTTTTAAGATACCATTTTCTTTTATGGAAAATATAACCTTTTGCTTAAAAAAATATCTCCTTTGAGTTATATATTATTAAAGTGTGATAAAGTGAAAGTGGTTTAAGTAAATGGCAGCACAGAGCAGTGGAAAACACATGGGCATCGTTGGGTGCTGGGTATAAATTCCGACCCTGCCACGGCCATGTGACCCTAGGGGAGTCTTCTAAACTCGACCAGCCTTGGGTTCCATTAGAATGTAAGCTGCATGAGGTAGAGGTTTTGTTTTATTCACTGCTAACATCCTCTGTGCCATCAACAGTGCCGGGTACACAGCAGAGGCCCCATAAATGAAACATCAGTTGTATGAAGAAAGGAGTCAGGAAGGTGAGGGAAACCTACGTGACAGGTTGTTGGGAGAATCAGAGAGGGTGTGTAGAGCCCCAGGGACAGTGGCTGGCACTTGACAGGCCCTCAACAATGACAGCTTAGTTCCAAAGCAGAAATGAAAGTGAGGATGGCTTCGTGTTTGTGCTTTGAAAAATGACATTTTCATAATGTCTTCTGGTCTAGAAAGAGTCTTTACATCAGCAAACACTTTTAGCCATTTCCTTACCCTTCAAACTCACTTTCCATGTTAAAGGAAGATTTCTCAGTAAAAGTAAGTTATTACATACCTTTTATTTGTTTTTCTTACTGCAAATGGCATGATTCCTTTTAGCTCTTGGATATTAACTGACTCGTAACACAGTATTAACAGTTCTATTTTTCCCACATTGTTCACAGCTAAAATAGCTTTCTCTCATATCCCTAATTTTATAGCAATTATGCCAGACAGAGCCTTAATGGCAGCATGGTCTACAATAAAATACAAGACTTCTTTGCTGTAAAAGCCAATTACTAAATCCTTCCTCAACCAGGAGTTACTTAATGAGTATTTTTTTCATGACTAAATGTCCTATTTTAAAAATAAAATAATTCTGCAATTGATAATAATCTATAATGCAATCTGTAATATTTAGTCCATATTCAGTGATAAATTTCTTTAAGGTTTCTTAAACTGTCCCCTGAAGTGAAGGACAGATGGATACAATATTTAAAAAACCATTTCTTTCAAAACAGTATTAGAATTTCCTTATTTAGCTGTACTTTTTTTAAAACCAGGAAAGAAAAAGAAACAGATCGGATGATGAACTGATAAAGAGAATACCTTATCAGAGACCGTTGCAAAATTAAAATGTGGCTCATACATATGGGGTGCTAAAGATGATGCGGTTTGTAGCAGTGCTCTTGCCTGTATTTAAAAAAAGGGGGGGGGAGAAAACCAAAGGTATATGAGCATCTATCAGCATGATATTTGTGATTTTTTTTTTTTTTTGGTAAAAGAATCCTTTACCCAAGATATAGGATCTTAATAAACATGATCCTGTGATAAATACAGATGACATTCTGTATTTGTGAAATAAGACTTACTGAAATACAATTAATATTTACATCTTCCCAAAATTAATGATAAAACTGCTTCAGAATATAAAGAAACTTAAGAGTAGATTTAAAGTCGAGAACCACGGTTCTTGTAAAGTTTGTATTGCAATATGACAAATCAAAATATAATCCTCTCAATGCTTAAAAAAAAAAAGGCTTATTAACCTAGTTTTTATTGCTGTTGATTGGTTTCTTAGGCTTCGAATTACCTGTTCTCTAATGCTACAACAAAAACAATAAAAAAAAATAGTAAATTTCCAAGCTCCAAGTTCTGTGCGAGAACACCGTGATGAGCATTTATTACAATGCTGACCTCAAAATAACAAGTGAATGCAACTGAAAAGGACAAGCCTTCTGTTCTCTCAAGTACTCAAAAAACAAAATTGGCATTCCCTATAGGCTCAAAGGATCCTTAGGACCAGAAACTCACCATTCCAAGCTGCTGACCATCCCTCCAATTTGTAACTAAATCCAAAACCTCCACCCATGACCTGTGGACAAATGTGTGTATTTTTTTTTAATGGAAAATAACCAATGGGATGGTAGATACTGATTTTTGTTTTATGATTAGCTATTTTTCTTTTAATCGAGGTATAATTTTTAGTAATAAAACAGAGGTTAGTAGCATGAAAACTTTCACCAGAACCTTTCAAATCAGTTTAGTAGAGAAACTGTAACAAGTAGGAAACAAAAACACCAACATGGGAACAGAGAAGACCACAAAGCACTTGTCTCATATGGACACAGGTAAAGTTCCATCACAGAACAAGTTCCCATTTTAGAGCAGTTACTCAACAACACAGGTTTGAATGGCATGGGTCCACTTAGGTGTGGATTTTTTCAATAAATACGGTACTATAAATGTATTTTCTCTTTCTTATGATTTTCTTAATCACATCTTATTTTTTCTAGCTTATTTTACTGTAGAATACAGTATACAGTACGTATGACATAAAATGTGTTAACTGTGTACATTCTTGGTAAGGCTTCTAGTCAACAGTGGGTTCTTAGTAGTTAAGTTTGGGGGGTTCAAAAGTAATACTTGAATTTTCAACCACACGGGGGGTCGGCACCCCTAATCCTGTGTTGGTCAAGAGTCCTCTGTAGTTAGTTTTTGTTGACAAAATACAAACCCAGCTTTTTTGGGGGAATTTATGAAATAAAGGCAACATCCAAGGATGTTTCTTTTCTCGTTGTGTTACAAGTTCATCACGGTGCTTAGGAGACCAGGCGGGAGGTTAACACTATATTTGGTGTTATATTTAACACTATATATCCCTTAATATTTATCAGACCAACCTGATAAATATTAAGACCTATTTTTTTAATAAAGTTAGAAGGTAACTTCTGCAGGTAAAGTTACTTACCTTCCTTGAGTCCCTGTTTCTTCATCTTTAAAGTCTGTAATGTAGCACTTATCTATTCTTGATTGTCACTAATATTGTAGGAGTATATTTAGTGTTTTAAACTTTTTAATAATAGAATTTATTATAAATATATAATAATAGAATTTATTAATAATTAATAATATAATTTATTAAGCATCTACCGTGTGCTCAGTCCTAGGCTACCATGTCCAATGCTTTCCATGCATAATCTGCTTATCCTCACAGAACACTTCCAGGTACTGCTGTTACCTCACTTTATATGCTGTCCGTTCACTTCACAAATACGGACCCACCACCCATCACATGCCAGGCAGTTTTTGATGCTGAAAATACAGCAGTTGGAAGACAAAGAAGGTCCCTATTTTCACGTGGCTGCCATGCTCCATTCTACATATAAATATGAACATATCTGATAAAATAAGTATGGTGAAGAAAAAATATAGTCGGAGATGTGATAGTGCCTGAGGGCTCCTTTAGACTGATGTTTCAGATGACCTTTCTAAGGAGGTGGTGATTAAGCTAAGACCCGGCTGACAAAAAGAAAAGTCACTGCAGGATCTGAAAGAGGAACATTCCAAAGATTGTAAAGGAAGAATGGGCACAGCATATTTGCAGAGCAGGGAGGCAGCTGATGTGTCCGGAAGTCGGTGTGAAGAAAGAAGTGATGAAAGATGTGGTCTGAGGAGGAGCTGGAGGCCGGATTATATGGGACTCTGTAGGCCAAGATTTGAATCCACATTTCATTCCAAATGAAAAGGAAAGACTTTGGAGGATGCTGAGCAAAGCAGTGATAAATCATTCTTGTTTTTTCAAAAAAATCCCTTCCGCTGTTATGAGGAGGACGTGTTATAGGGTACAATTACTTGCTGACGTAAGTGGAGACAAAAAGACCAGTGAGGAGACCGTTGTCATAGGGTCCAGGCAAGAGAGGAGTAGGGTCTGGAGAAGGGTGGCAGAGGTGGGGTAAAGCATCCAGGTCCGGGATGGGGCTTGGAGGTAAAACTTGGCAGGGCCTGCCAAACGCGATGGGGTGTGGGGTGGCTGCGCGAGGCAGCTGGGACAGAGAGGTTTCAAGCGGGGCTCCTAGGACTTTGGCTGGAGCACCCAGCTGGTGGATGGGGCACTGGGAATGGTGCAACAGTTCACTAAGGCAGGGAAGACCAGGGAGGTACAGATTTGTCCTGATAAAACCAAAGGGTAAGAGAAAACAGAAAGGTTAAGTAACTTGTCCAATGTCACATCACTAATATGTGCCAGAACTGGGATTCAAATCCAGCCAGTCAGACTCTAGAGCTCATTTTTCAACTGCAGCATGTAGGGGGGCCTGGGTGGCTCAGTGGGTTAAGCGACCGACTCTTGATTTTGGCTCAGGTCCTGATCTCAGGGTCCTGGGATCAAGCCCAGGCTCTGTGCTCAGCAGGGAGTCTGCTTGGGATTCTCTCTCTCTCTCCCTCTGCCCCTCCCACTCGTGTTCTCTCTCTCTCAAAGAAATCTTTTAAAAAATAAATAAACTGCAGCATGTAAAGACAGCTACACCTGACAGCTCCTCTTTGAAGAAAGCAGATTGTCCACTGTGCCACAGTCGTTCACTGACCTGCTCGACGTGGCCCTTCCGCATCTCCAGCACAGCCAGGTTGTTGTAGGCCTCAGCATGGTGATTGTTGTTGACCAGAGTGAGCCTGAAGCACTGATGGGCCAAGTTCATATCCCCTATGCCCTTGAACAGAAAAGCATGTATTCGCACACACAGATCCATACGCTTCCGCCCACCATCTCCTCCCTTCTTTCCTCGAGTATGTCTTTTCTGCTACCAAGCAACAAGTACTGATCATAATCAAGTGTGAATTGTATATACGAGGAGTTAACCTGAGAAAATACGTTCTAGGGTGACTCTCAGAAATCGCTCAATCGCTACAGAAGACCATAACCTGTATTTACGATACCCGAATATTCCTTCAAACTAACTTGTGGCTACCTTTTCTATACCAGAAATTGCATGAGAGAAACAACCTACCACAGCAACGTGGCCCAGGTTGTACCAGACATCGGCTGCCTCTTCTTCGTTTTCAGCCAGAGCAAGGGCACGTTCGAACGAGGTCAGAGTCATATCATACTGCTGGGCATAGAAGCAGCAGAGCCCCAGATTGTTAAAGAGCTGACAGTTATAAACACCCATCTGCAGGAGTCGCCTTTTTGAAAAGGAGAACACATATTTTGGTGTCAGACCAACCTGATAAATATTAAGACCTATTTTTTTATAAAGTTAGAAATGTTTTATAATTTGTAACATCCCCAAAGAATAGAAGGTATTACAGGAAATAGAAAAAAATGTCAAAGCAAACACAAAAGCATGTCTTTTTTAAGGGTACTGGTCATGGGTAATGTGTCCAGAGGCAAGGTCAGAATCAACTTGCATAAGTTCTTTTCCCCAAAAAAATTCTGCTAGAGAAAACCAAGCTACAAAAGAGTCACATAAAGTAAAACCCACAACATTTTGCTTCATAAAGGTTTGGTGTCAAGCAGTAAACCCCTGAGACCTTCTAATCTAATTTGAGGGCTGTGTTTAGGATTTACCTTCAAGTTCTCAGCTAAATTGAATCTTGGTTTTGGTTATCTGTAGTATTTTGTGGTTTAGCCGTGTCTACTGACCTTCCAGTGAGCTTCCAGCAAGGAAGACAAGACCATCAGTACGATCCCTACCTTATCCACTCAGCTCTCATGCTAGAGCTCAAAAAACCCATCTGTTTCTATGCATCATTAATCCCAAAGGACAAGACTATTCACATAAGCAAATGAAAATCCACTTCAGCAGCCCTGAGGAACCCATGACCCATTTTCAGGGTGGGAGAGTAGAGGCAACTGCCTGTGCCTAAAACAACACTCATTTTATCATATTTTATGCTGCCAACATGTATTTGGAAAGAACTCTCATCAGCAGCCAGTTATCTCCTTGTATATTACCTGAGGGCAGAAGAGGAAATCAAAATTTAAAAATTAATCTCAGAAGCCATCTGTAGGATGAAATAAGAATGTGCTCAAAAGAGAACCAGAGAGCAGAACTTATTTAGGCTTTGAACACCTATTTGGACAAGAGTTGACAATACTTCACAGAACAGGGGAACCTGTTTCAGGTCCTCGTCAGGGCTTGGAACCTGGGACCCACTGCTCTTTGCAAATCTCATCACTGTTTCAGCTTCGGGGTCTTTATAGGCCATGTGGTATTAAGGGAAGCAGTGATGGGGAGAACTGTTTCCAGGAACTATTAAACAGTTACTCATTGACAAGAAAATGGCTAACTCATACAATGACGTGGTGTTAAAAACTCAATTATCCAGGTATGTTTCTGCAAGATGCCAAGTATCTGTGCATTTTCAAATTCTTAGATGTCACTTGAATGCTCATAAAACCTCTGGGTGCTGGAATGTTTAGTCTCCTGTAGACATGGCCTATATATTATGTGTCTACATTTTCACACCATCATTATTGCTGCTGCACTGATATTTCACAGGAAAGTTCTACGCAGAGAGTGTAAAGCACACCTGTAAAACCGAAGAGCTATTTCTGGTTGATCAGAATAAAAGTGGTTGCTTCCAATGCACGCAATGGCTTCCACATGAGTATTGTCCTGTTTCAAAACTTCTCTGTAGTATTCCGCTGCTGATGAAATATTGTTCATTTCCTATTCTCCAACAAGACAGAAGAGCAGTACTTCAGTGCCAGGAAATTATTTTTCTTCTGGCTGATTTATGTTCATTCATTCAACAAATATTGAGAGCCTACCATGTGCCAGACTGTGTTCTAGGCCCTGAGGACACAATACGAACAAAAAGACAAAGCTGCTATCCTCAAGGAGGGTACAGCTGGTAAGGAAGACAAGCGAATGAATAAATAGGTAATATAATGTCAGGCAAGTATAACTGATATGAAGAAAGGCAAGGAGAGGGGCGCCTGGGTGGCTCAGTTGGTTAAGTGTTTGCCTTCCACGCAGGTCATGATCCCAGGGTCCTGGGATCGAGCCCCCGCTGAGCTGGAAGCCTGCTTCTCCCTCTGCCCCTCCCCCTGCTTGTTCTCGCTTGCTCTCTCCCCCTCCCCAAAAAAATAAAATCTAAAAAAAAAAAAAAAAAAGGGAGAGACCAGAGAGATGATTTCTCTCTCTCTACCATATAAGGGTATAGATAGAAGGTGTCTGTCTACAGACCAGGAAAAGGGCCCTCACTCAGAAATGAATTGGCCAGCACCTTGATCTTAGACTTCCCAGCCTCCAGAATTATCAAAATAAATTTTATGTCCTTTAAGCCTCCCAGTTTATGGTATTTTGTTACAGCAGCCTGAGAAGACTAAGATATTGTCCTTCCAAAGAATAATCTCCACACCTAGGCAGCAACCTGACCACTGAATCTAATGGCCCTGAGCAGCCTGGGTCCCCATGAACATGACTTTTCTGGTTTACAGGGCAACAACATCCGATAGTGCAAGGCTTCAGTATTACTGTTGTCAAAGTTGGTGTCTTAGTCTGCTCGAGCTCCTATATCAAAATACCAAAGACTGTGGCTTAAACAACAGAACTTTATTTTCCTATAGTTTTGGAGGCCGTAAGTCCAAGATCAAGGTGCCAGCATGGTGGGGATCTTGTGAGGACTCTCTTACAGGCTTACAAAGGGTCACCTTCTCACCGTGTCCTCAAAAGGCAGAGCGAGCACCAGCACACTCTGATGTCTCTTCTATTAAGGGCATTAATCCCACCATGAGGGCCCCACCCTTGTGACGGCATCTAAACGTAATTATCTCAAAAGGCCTCATCTCTAAATACCATCACACTGGGGGTTAGGGCTTCAACATATTAATTTGGGAGGAACATGATCCAGCCCAATGCAAAAAGACTCCAGCCTGAATGGATAATTGTTTCAAGGCTTTCAGTTCTATAAAATTACCTTGGAATGTCTGTATACTTGATTGATGGGTACATAATTAATTTATGTAATCTTAAGGAATTTTAGACTGAAACTAATTTGTGTTTTTGGCAACCCCATATGTAGTTTTTTAAACGTGTTATTGTAAAATATGTGCTTATGCTAAATAAATTTAAACACTGAAAAAGGTTATAAAATGAAAAGTAATAGTACCCTCTCCAAATCCAGTCAGAGGTTCTGTGAATGGTTTGAGTAATTTTCAAGAAACTTTGTTCATATATGTGTAGACACACATGTATGCAAGTTTTTACCATAACATAATCATTCTACACATTCTGATACACGGTTCATTGTTTCTTGAACTCTCAGTGTCTTGACTCTTTCCATATCAGCACAAAGGGTTCCACCCCGTTACTTTTTTATTTCTGCATAGTTTTCCATCAATACATAGACCATACTTTATTTAACCAGCCCCCTTTTGATGAAGCATTTGTTTGTTTGTTTTTGCTATAAAAAAATACTATAAAATCATCCTTGTACATATTTTCTGAACTTGTATGAAAGCATCCTTAAGGAAAATTCCTACAAGTGAAATTGCTGGGCCAAAGAGTATGCATGCTTGGAAATCTCATCAGTAATCACAAACAGCCTCCAAATGGGTTGTGCCAGCATACACTCCCAGCATCAGTGTTCATATGTGGGGTGTGTTCCTCACAACCTTGACAACCCTACATGTCCTGGAACTTCTCCATCTCTGTCAACCTGATTAAGTCAAAAAAGGCATCTCATTATTTTAGTTTTTATTTCTTCAATTATGACTGAGGTTAGGCATTTAATACACACCTATTTATATTTCCTTTTCTGTGAACTGCCGATTCATGTCCTTTGCCCATTTTTCTATCCTATCTTTTGTTCTTTTACTATTGGCTTGTGTTATGAGGGCTTGGGTTGGAAACTGCCCTCCTGGATACAGGAGAGCTGGGGGCAGACATGTGCCTCAGAGATCCCTGGGCACTGACTCTGTTTTCTCCTTCCAGATTAAACAAGTCTGCTGATGTGACTTAAGTTCCAAATCCCGGAAGTCCTGGCGTTTATAAACATTTCCTTCAGAGGAAAAGTATAGATGGTTTAAGGTCTTCCAGATGGGTCTTACTGAGCCCCAGTATGAAAGGCAGTGGTGTAGCCACGGTGTAGCTGGAATTGGCTGTTGTCTCATCTCTGGGGTGATTTTACTTGCATGAAGAGGATCAGCAGCCACAATGCAGGCCAGTAGGAAAACAAGGGCTAATGCAAAAGCCACACTATGATTTTGACCCACAACTGCTCTGAAGAAACACCTTGTTTCCATAAGTGTTTACAATCTTGACTAAATGAGAACCTGTAAGTTTGTGTTCATGCACGTGTGTGTGTGTGTGTAATTCTCCCACCAACCTGGAAACCACCTGAAATTCGCAACTTTTAAGCAATGTATAGATTGAGGAAATTAAAAGTAATCTTTTGTCTGTCTCAGGTATGGCAAATATTTTCCCCGTTGGATATTTTTATACTGTTTGTTTTGGTTTTATTTCTATTTGTTTTTATAGAAAATTTAACTTTATAGAACACTTATTTAACTCTATAGAAAATTTAACTTTTATCCTCTCAAATTCAGTCTTTTCTATTATGGCTTTCGACTTTCTATCACACTTAGAAAGGTCTTCCTCTTCCAAGTTTATACAAATAATTCATCTGTGTCTTTTTTCTGGAACTTTCATGGTTTTAAATCTGTGAGTCATCTGGCAGTAATATAGACTCTTTTAGTATAAGAAACCATTATTCCTCCAGCTCTATTTTTTTTTAAATAATCTAATAATCCAATTGGTTAAATAGGCAGTCTTTAGAACATTGTAAATTGTCATATGTATGAACATACACAGACTCTATTTTGCTCCTTTAATCTATTCCTGCATCAGAATTGTTTAAATTATAGTAACTCTAGAATAAATTTTGTTAATGTAGATTTAAAAAATATTTTCAAATATATAAATGTCACCTCAAGTATATAAATAACTATGGTATCATTTAAGTGATGTTGATAGTGGTTATTTTGGAACAAATTCACAAAATACTATAAGTTATTTAAAATGAAATTGCAAATAACTTGAGGTGAATGTTGCAGTGGTTCTCAAACTCTGTTATATGTCAGAAATGCCTAGTGAGCTCAAACATACAAATAATTGCCGGAGTCCTGCCTTCCAGGATATCTGATTCAGTAGGCAGAGGATAGGCCACCCTTCTCAACCACTCCTGAAGTTATTTGAACACAAAGTAAACGTCAAGGATCGCTAGAATAATCTCTTCTAGGGTAACATTTCTAATTTCAAATATCTTCAACAAAGAACAGTTCAGAGACCTGCCTTTTGAATGGATAAACAGAATTCCTCAAGAACAATTAAAACCACAACCAAATTTAGCAAGAATAAATCATTTTAAACAATAAGCAATGAACACTAGGCAGCACAACATGTGCATTTTAAAACAGGAAAACACTGAAAAGATACAAGACCAAATGAATGTGATAAACAAAAAAGAACACAAAGGAAGAGGACCCCTCCAGGGAAGTCTGATGGACATACAAAAATCCCCTACACAGTAGTGTAGGCTGCAATGCTAAGGGACAAACTTTACTAAGGAACTCCAAATTTACTGTCACATAAAAAGAAAAAGAATACACTAGAAATCTGTCTTCCAGTATGGTAAACTTTGGCACAAGGGAAATTAGCGGTTAGATTCATGGGGAAATACTGCATCTCACTACTTTAAATTTGCGCTTAGTCCTTGATCATGCTTTATGTGGATGATAAATTGTCCCTACAACTTGGATGCTGTCTTCTCCACTTTGAGAGCCAACTCCAATTCTACTTGTCTCCCCAAACCTTCCCCTGTAGACTTCTGAAAGGATATGGTCCTTCAAGTCCTGGTGAGACCCTGAGCATAGAACAGTGAAGGGAGCTGGTTAAGGGTCTACTCCCTGTCTCAGCCAGAGTGACTCTAACAGAAGGTTGGCAGGAATTCTTCCAACCAGCAACCATCAAAGATTCCACAGATGTCTAGCTCTTTCTGCCAGTGCTTCCTGCCTAAGAAGAGCAGAAGCACTGAAATGGGTAGAAGGTGGAGCTTAAAGGTCAGAGAGCTCTGATCCTATTGAGACAGGCACTGCTCTGTATGAATACCACAGTTCTATTTCTTAAGCTTCTTGGTCAAGGGGCGCCTGGGTGGCTCAGTCGGTTAAGCGGCTGCCTTCGGCTTGGGTCATGATCCTAGGGTCCTGGGATCGAGCCCCACGTCCGGCTCCCTGCTCAGCGGGGAGCCTGCTTCTCCCTCTCCCTCTGCCTGCCACTCTGCCTACTTGTGCTGTCTATCTGTCAAATAAATAAATAAATCTTTAAAAAAAAAAGCTTCTTGGTCAAAATTTTGTTCATGTTCAATTTAAGGTCACACAAGGACAGATACAGAGATACAAATACAGTATTTTATTTTTATTGAATGATCAAAGCCTTCTACTTCTGTGTTTATCAGAATTATATTTCAAAAGGAAACCGTATTTCTAGACAATTTAAAAATAAAATTTTTCATTTTAAAAGGAATGCAAGTTCATGACAGAAAATCTGGAAAATATAGAAAGTATGAAAAAGAAAATAAAAGTCATTCATATACTATTACCCAGATATAGCAACTATTAATACCTTCCACTATTTTCCTAACAAAATAATTTTAAAATATTGTACCTAGAATTTCAAGGAATTTAAGAGAACAGAGATGCTTCTTGTCAGTATTGTACTGGAAGTCCTAAACAATAAGTTTTTTTATTAAGTGGCAAAATAATTGAGACGAAGAGATAAAACTGTGTTTGCAGATAATGACTATTTACTTAGAAAATCTTAAGAGAAATTAAGGATAAGGTATTAAAACTTAAAAATTTGAGTATTAGGCCTATTTTATTTTTTTTAAGATTTTTAAAATTTATTTGAGAGAGAGCATGAGCAAGGGAGAAGGGCAGAGGGACAGGAAAAGCAGACTCCCCACTGAGCAGGGAACCCAGTGTGGGGCTTCATCCTGGGACCCTGGGATCATGACCTGAGCCAAAGGCAGATGCTTAACTAACTGAGCCACCCAGGCACCCCAGTATTAGGCCTGTTTTCTAGTATCAAATGAACTTTAAAAAATTAGTGTATTCCTATTTACCAGAAATAGTCAAATAGAAAATTACAATAGAAAAAAAGGATTCCATCCACAGTTATACCTAGGGATGGATCTCTGCAGGAAAGAGTGTAACAGACCGGAAACTGCTATTCTTAGAAAGGCCTGCTTGTAAGGTTGGTCCCTGGCTGGCATCTGAGAAATTGGTGGGTTCCCTATATTGATATAAAACTTCCTGCTGGAGTGGTGGGGGGGTGGGAGGGATGGGAGGTGGCTGGGTGATAGACATTGGGGAGGGTATGTGCTATGGTGAGGGCAGTGAATTGTGTAAGACTGATGAATCACAGACTGTACCCCTGAAACAAGTAATACGTTATATGTTAATAAAAAAACAAACTTCCCTCAAATGATAAGAGGGGCTCACACACCTAAACTTTTTGTACAAACGGTGTGGTGCAAAAAGCTGATATGGTGCATGAATACCTGCTTTATGTCTTGGAGTCTGGGATTTTGGTACATGGTAGGCAGAAGGTGCCCATATGACCAACCCCTAGGAATCACCTTGAGTACCAAGTCTTTCATGAGCTTCCCTGATAGACAATGCTTCACACATGTTGTCACAACTTGTTGGAAGAAAGAATAAAGTGTGTCCTGTGTGATTCCACTAGGGGACAACTTCTAGAAGCTTGCGTGCCTGATTTCCTCTGAACTTTGACGCATGTACCTTTTCCCTTTACTGAGTTTGCTTTATAGCCTTTTGGTATAAATCTTAACCATGAGTATGACTGAATGCTGAGTCCTGAGTCCTTCTAATAAATCATTGAAACTCAGGTTGGTTTTGGGGACCCCCAATATAACATCTTCATGGAGATAATTATATTCACTGAAGAAGACCTAAATAAATGGAGAATTTTACCATGATGGAGAGTGAGAAGAAAGGCAGTCCACCCACCCCCATCATTCATATTATCAATGCAATTCCAATCAATATGCCTGTAGGAATTGTTTTGATTTTTAATGGTTCGTGATAAGTCAATCCTAAAATCAATATGGAAGAGCAAAGGGCCAAAAATAACTAGCTGTGAAGAAGAGTAGGTGGTAGAATTTGTCCAACTTGAGATCAGGATTTACTGTAAAGCTATAATAATTAGGCAGTGGGAAGGGTACCTCAATGGGGCTTTCCATGGAATTTGACAACACGATTCTAAAATTTGTAAGAATAAGTAAAAGTCCAAAATAGACAAAACATTCCTGATAAAGAACCATACCAAGTAGTATGTGAGGCTGTAGTAATTAAGATGGTATAATACTGGTACAAGGATAGACAAACAGACCAAAAGAATAGAAAGCCCCCAAAACATATTGACCATATAGAGAAAAAAAAAAGTTGATATTTGACATTACAGACCTTGGAAGAAGGATCAATAGATGTGCTGGACAAATAGCTATCTTTTTTTTTTTTT